CCAAGCCCTGTCCTCCCTCAAAACAGGAAGGTAGGAGAGGAGCTGTGGCCAAGGCCCCTTGACCTTCCAGGGAAACAGCTAGTATTTATGTGGAGACACTGGATTGATGATCTTAGCTGTGTTGACAGGGATGAGTTATAAAGTGAAGCAGGCATAAGTGCAGTTTTAACGAGGCATAGGATTTCCAGGATTTGGGAGTGTTTTTAGCACCTTTACCCTCTAAGCCTACTCATCCCCACATGCCATCAGCTTCCAGATGGGTACCAGTACCACTTGACTGGCTTAGCTGGGAACTAAGCATCAATGCTGGGAGGTGGTGGGAGCCCAGGGTGGGCTGATCTGGTTCTGCTGTAGCATGGGACAGTGCCACAGGCTCATCAAGAGGGCTGTCCTTCTCTACCACCCTCCCCTGTGGGGCTGCCCTCTCCCTCCTCCCCCCCATCTACTTAATACCCTGGAGAATTGGGTCAACGGCTTGGGGGCCCTTAGGGAGGGAGAGCTGGACAGGGTGCATCTGCTGGAGCCGTGGCAGAGCCACTCCTCCACACATGGGTTTTGCCAGAAGGAACCACAGAGCCAGGCAGAGGTAGAATTGGCCTCTAATTTTAAATATCGGGAGTACCTTGATAGTCCTGATTCACTGTTCCCACTGTGGTTCCCACCCAGACCCATGAGGAGAAGGGATATTTGGGAAAGGAAAGACAGAATAGGGGAAGGAGTCAGTGACTGAGATTTCCAGTTTTTCACTTCAGTCCATCCTGGCTAGGATAAATAGTTTATATAGTCAAGAATTTAATACAACTCACATCTTTCCTTCCATGTGTGAAGGACAACGCAAAAACAACTTAAAGGCACTAAAACATGCACCAAAAAGAAAATTAAGCTTTATAGTTATACAATTATTACATTCCCTTAAAAATAAGGATAGGAACACCAACTAAAGCTGAAAAAAAAATTAGGTTCTTTTTTTGATAAACAACACAAATTTATGACTAATTCCATGACCCAGTGAAGATTTCTTTCTTTTGTTAGCAGAAGAGCTGATAGCCAATGGATTCATTGTACTTTCTTGCTGTGGTAAAGCAAAAAGAAACCCCCAACATTGCGCTGTTCAGTCTCAAAGAATTAGCTGAGTTGTCATCCTGACCTCTATTAAGTCAGAAGAAAAGCTCTCTTACATCTAGGGGGAAAGAGCATTCAGTTAAAATCAATCGGATTATCAAACAGACTTTTTCCACAGTGGTCCAGCTCTGCTCCAGTTGACCAATGTAGTACACTGAGTCAGTAAACTTATACAGGGGACCAAATCCAGTCAATAGGTTTATTTTTTTGTTCAGTGTTTCACAATCAGGGAAGCATGACTTATCTCCCAAAGTCTCTTTGGGAGAACAATTAAGTTATTTAAGATGAGCAAGGCAAGCTGCTGACACATTTCGGTTTTGAAGGCACTGCTGTTCAGTTTATCCAGACAAAGCCTGAAACGTGAAAGCTGGCCTCCTGCCTTTGTTTTCTTCTAACCGACTGCTGGAGAAGCAGATTTCCCTGCTCCATGGCTAACTAGATCTGCCTGGTTTGCTTAACCAGCGAGCACATTCCTGCACTTCAGGAAGAACACTCCGGACTCATTACGAGCTACTGGGCTATAGCACGACATTGAGAAAACAGATTTGTTTTGGACAAGCTGCTCTGATGTGGAGGTGCCAGGGTGAATAACCTCTGGGAAAAAAAAAAAAAAGAAAAGAAAAACAACACAACCCCCCAAAACCTGCCTCCAAGAACAAGATGAATAATCTGACAAATGAATAGCTCTGTATTTTATATCAAAGCACAAAATGACTAGAAGTTGCGGAGATCTGACTCATGAGCAGAAATAGAGTGCTGGGGACGGCTTGAGCCGTTGCTACCACTAGCTGCCTGCCCCCACCGCTGGAAAATGGGTGGCTCAGATGCTGCTTCTTAAGCAATTCAGCCACAAAAGGCTACAGTGAAGCATTTTCAAGGAAACGTGTCAGCGCTAGTTTATAGCCGCACTCGTTAAGATAAACCTTGAACCGGTCCCGAGTTGCCACAAAGCCTTTCAGCTCCTGAGGCAGGAGGAACTGGACAGACGCTTAGCCAGGCATCCCGGTGGAAATCGCACCAGGCATAAATCAGTACTCAGCAAAGCAGCTTGTCCCAGCTAAGTGGCACTCCGCTGCCACGGCAAGGTGTTGATAGAAGCCTCCTCCCCGCCCCCTTTCCCAACCCTCTTATCAGTAAAGCAGCCTTTTTGAGATGGGCAGATTTTAAGCCCGTGACCTATTTAAACGTGCGGCCCCATCACCGACCAGCAGCGCAACACTGCAACAACTCCTGTAGCACTCTGCTCTTGCGTTTCCCAGCTGCTCTCTGTGACAAGTTCCCCGACTCAAATAGAAGCCCTAATCCTAGTGTAAAGCTCCAGCCTTGCTGCTTCAGATAAACATACATTGTTTCACCTGGTCTTCTGCGAAAATGAGACCGTGGCAAGGGCCTTATCAGTGCTGCTTTCTCTACCTCTTCTCAGCTCCTCCTCCCACCCATAACTTTCTAACGTGTTTATCATGCAGAAAGAGAAAGACAGCTCAGAAAATCAAACTCCTACAAACGCGGGGGGAAGGAGAACGGATGGTTGGGTATGTGCACCCATCCCCACTGAGGGTACAGTTACACAGCAGCGTCAATTGCTCTAAATTGGAGTTGCCGTAGCAATGCCTGCCCTGCCTGCATCATCCTGTTCTCCCCACTTTCTGTCAGCTGAAAACAAAGGAGGTACATGAGAAAAGCAAAAAGTCACTACCTGTGGCTGATTTGTCTGAAAACCAGCCCTACCTAAAAATGATTCATTTTGCTGGTTGAGCTCCATACAAAGGCCACCTCGAAACAAAGTGAGGATGAAGGAAACATCAGGATTTTGCAGGATGGAGGAAGAAGAAGCAGAACTGCTGCTCTGTTGATTTTGGGACAGCTGAACTTCTGTAGAATGAATTCTTAGCAGGGTTATAGCGGTGCCGAGAAGCTGTCTCCAAAAGGGGGAATTCCCATCCGCCTCCCCTCTCAGCTCCTGCAGGTTACTTGCCGCTCTGGGCCCCCAGCCTGAGCCTTGGCTAATGCCACAGCATCGGACCACGGCTTGTCTGGACTGCAGGTGGGAAGTGCAGCAAGGCAGGAGCCCTGCTGCTGGCAACTGCATGTTTCTCATCTTAAAACTACTGTAAAATTGCAACTCGAGGGTTAGGGGCACAATACAGAAGTATGGAAAGAAATGCTTCAAGTTCACTCAGAGCTATTTTGTCTCTGAATTATGTAACATTCTGCTTTGCTACATTAAAACTCCTGTTAGAGACCTTTAATTTTGTTTCGCTAACCTTTATTCAAAGAATGCTCTAGCTGAAAATATCTCCAGAAAGTCTAGTGATGTGGGGGATGATGACTAGCCTCTGAAGTTGTGAATTCCTGCTGATTCTCCCCGTGTGAACCAGCACTGTTGTCCTGGGGATTTCTTACACTGTCTGCATCACTCATGCAACAGTATTTTTGAAAATCTTCAACACTGTTATTTATACACCATAGTACATTTAGTGGTTGGTAAGTGCTTTTAATCAAGAGTTTTCTTTAAAAAGATAATTGTAAATACCTGTGGTATATGAAGTCAGACACAATATTGCATCTCAACTGATACTGTTACACAAGAGGGGTTCTGGCCACGATGCCCCTTTTCCACCCCTTCAAACAAAGAAAGATCAGGCTGAAAGATCAGGTAGTTTAGGAGAGCTTTAAAAGGCAGTGGCTAGCGAATTGCCTTTGCGCTCCCAGGTGCGCAGAGGGAAGAAGCATCAGGTGTGCTTCCACAGCCTCCACAGCAGCCGACCAGCTACGGTTAGAAGGGATGCCTGCCCGGGACACGCAAAACCGAAGGATGCAGAATATTTGAGAGTGGTTTGGCCGTTGGCAGTCAGCTGTGGGAGCCTCAGGAATCAGGATGCAGGAATTTGGGTCTTTGTTTCAGGAACATTCCTTGGAAAGTGTCGAGGCCAGCTGCAAGACGGTCCGAAATCCCTCATCTTATCTACGCTCGGCGCAGGGAACTACACGGGGGACCCAGCGTACCGACCCTCCTGGCTCCGGAAAACCGGGGGCTCCCGGCTGCCTCGCCGGGGAACCGGGGCTCGCTGGGGATCACATCCCTTCCCAACCCAGCTTGACTTTGCACGGCCCCGACCCCAGGTACCCCGCGTCCTTTTCCCGTGCGCCCACCGACGTGGGGCGGTGGGCGGCAGGGGCAGCTGCACAACACCGCGGGCCAGGCGGGATTTTTTTTTATTTCTTCCCATCTTTTCCTCATCTGCGCGTCGCGCGCTGCCCGCTCTGCTCACGGGAGAGCTGGGGCTTTAACTTTGCACGGGGAAAGGAGCAAAACGAGAAGCAGTCGGGACGGGAGGAAAGGAGGAAGGTAGCCCCTGTTCGGGGGTCTGCAGCGAGGGCGGCCGCCACCTGCCCCCGCCAGCGGCGCGGGGCGTCCCGGCGCCCCCGGACTTACTTTCTGGGGGTCGGCGTAGGTGCCCAGCCCCAAGAGCGGGATGCTGTTCCCGTCGCTCAGCGGGATGCGGTGGCTCTCGGCTGTAAGGTTCATCTTGCCGGCAGGTAGGGCCGCCCCGGACCCGGGGCTGACTCCACAGGGGGGCGGGAGCCGCCGCTTCTCAGCCAACCGCGGCCCCTGCGCTCCGGCACCCACCGACGGCTGGACGGAGCGGACCGGCGGCGGCTCTGCAAGGGGCCGAGGTACGAACTGTCCGATCCCGCCGCCGGGGAGCGCCTTTTTGGGGGGCTGAGCCACGTGTGCCCGCGGCTACCCTGCACCGCGCCCCGCCGCGCACCGCCCCGCTCGCCGCCCCGCCCCGAGGCCACCGCGGCCCCGCGCACCGCCCCGCGCCGGGACGGCCCCTGCGCGACCCCCGAGGGGGAAACCGGCAGGGGCTGGGTGCGGGATAAAGGCTGCTCCGTCTGAACTTCGAGGCGGGCCGGTGGGCGACCTGCACTTTGAGGGGTTTCGGGTGGTGCTGCTGCCCATTGTCAGGGAGTCCCCCCGGCCCGTCGTGGCCGGAGCTACCGGCAGCAGGGCACCGGCTTCACACGGTTTGGGGTGTTCGGTCTCTGAGCTTTTCCCACAGAGGTGTAAAACCGAGACAGTTTCCGCCTCTCCTTTCCAGTGGCTGAAACCCACTGCTGTAGAGGTAAGGAGGGAATGAAGGAAATCCCAGATTGGTGAGTAGTTCCTCTGCCTCAGTGTGAGTCCCAGATTACGGTGAATGGGCTCAAATTCCTCACTAGCAAGTTCTGCTCCACTTTGGAAAAAACGGTATATATTTTCTAACACTAATAGCCCAGAAAGGGATAATGTCCGTTATGAAATTCAGCAAGTGGCTTTTACTCTTTTCTGATCCTCATAAAACACTCAGGGCCATCCATGCTTTTATACCACTCTGTAGAGGTGTACCTGTCTTAACACACCTGCTTTATGTCCTGTATCTATGCTGAATTCTCCCCATTTGATTTTGAAGTGTATAGTCTTTTATGTCTTCCCAGATTAACCTGAAATTTAGCCCTCAGAGAGCATTATTCCTCAGCCACAACAATGTCCTTTGCCTGGAAGACTATTTTATCTCTTCTAATACCCTACTTGGCTTTCTGTGCATAGCAATCGTTCAGCAGGTTATGCAATTCCAAGAGGGGTTAATGAATCCATCATGATAAGTTATCTTTGCAGGGTTCTTGAAATCCACAGGTGTATGCTAGTTGGCATTTAGGGAAATGGTTAGTGGCTGCTAGGGCTGGAAACCCTAACCTGGAGAACACCCTAACAAGAGATACTTTCAGTGTTACTGGTTAGATATCTGCAAGAGTACCCAGTGAAGATGGAAAAACTGCCACTTTCACAGATAGGAGTGTGTCAAGAAGCTCAGGACTAAGTGCAAGCTAACTTGATCTGCAGCCCAAAAATTTCTAGCTAACTAGAATGCCCTGCAGGACAAAGGAAGGGTGTTGTAGTGTATGTAAAATGCTCCTTGGAAGGTGGACTGAATGCGGTTGAGGCTTTCCTGACAGCCTGTGCTTTCCCTGAACAACGCAATGCAAAGAGCTATCTGTAAGGTGACTGGATTCCATCTCAAGGAGGGGAAGCTGGGGCAAACTGCAGCCTGGCTGTAGCTACTGTGGGAACACTAATCCTGCTAGATCCCATCTGCATGTTACTGCAAGCTGTGGGTACCTGCAGGTGTAACGTGGAGGAAGAAAACCCAGTGACCACTTCCATGCCTCCTTGTTCCCATGTAACTGATTGCTATTTTCTTGCTACAGGAGAAGCTCCTATCTTCTCTCCCCATGCCAACCATGCTTAAACATACTGTGCGTTTGTTGGAGGATGAGTCAATTCTAGCTGCATGTCTGAGCTACAGCCTTTGTTCTACTGTATTTCCAACAGAGGAGCAAAAGCATGGAGAGAGGAGGAAATGCGGTAAGTAGAGAAGAGTCTGATGTGGCAGAGGGCATTCAGAGACCTCCTTATTTCCAATCCTGTACTAGCATCCCACGAAGAGGCTCTGCTGTCCAGTGGCTGATTTCTACCCCTTAGCTTCCATGCTCCAAGTCCACCCCAGAACCCGCTTTTCCATAACTCTTCTCAATCCAGCATCTTGTGGGGAGTTTGAAGGCACAGTTTGCTCATTTACTTTGGGTTTGGAACACATCCAGTTTGCTCACGTGCTCTGGGAACAGAGCGGTGTGTGCCCTAAGCTGTGTGTGATCCTGAGCTAAGCAAAGCACAACTGTGTCAGTGGTGCCTGTCCTGGGCAAACAAGCAAGTGCAAGGAGCCTCTCTGGCAGGAGTGCACTAGTCTGATACATGATAGCCTTCAACAGCAACTGTGGAAGAAGGATTGATGGACCTGGCCATAATTCACAGAACAGGGAGCTTGCACAGGAAAAGGATTTGTGTTTCTAGAAACAGGCAGGCAAAACGTTCCATCACCCACGAGGCAAAACAGGCACCCTTCCCTGCTACAGGCCTGAGCCCCCAGCACCCATCAGGGTGCAGATAACAAACAACCTTGGGGTAACAGGCAAAAGTTGCCTTACTTGTAGCTTTACTGCTAGACCAGTCCTTATGAAATTCAGTCCATGTGTTTGTCAGAGAAACTGGAGAGAGGCAGAGGGTTTTACAAGTCCTTCCCCCCACCCCTGCATCTTAATTGACAGCAAATAGTGTGGAGACTTTTTACACATGAGACTTTTTAAGTCACATGGCACCTGTGGCTCCCTACCCTACTGTTCTAATGCATTTGCAGATTTTATACTAAAACCCAGAAAACAGAGAGGAAAATGCATTTTTTCCTATTTACATCTGAGTTACTAACTCAAAATAGCCTTATTTCACAGAAGCTGGAAATACTAGCAGATTTTGAGCTGACAATGAGTATCCTTTAAAGAACAAAGGAAGCCAAATAATGTAGCCCAGAGCCTGTCACATCCACTTCTTGTTAGTAACAATTTCTGTTAGCTGTTCAGGGGAGTGCAGCTCTCAGTTTCAGAGCTTAAATGACTTAGCCAGACTTTTTACGAGGACATGGTATCTAGCAACTCCAACTGCAAAACAGTGCAAGTTTCTATAGGCAAAGCATTGGCTGCTGGTTATTGTCGATCAGTAACTGTTCAGGAGCTTTTATAAAATGCAGATGTGATCTCAGTTCTTTCTCTAGGAAACAAAAACAATGAAGTTTCAGCCTGTTGCCATCCTATCAACACAAGTTTGCCTTCTCTAGCAAAGCTTATGAGCACACAAGAACACCTTCAAAAGCAATTAAGGGAGGTTTTTGATTCCTGTATCGATGGTGTAGAGTTTTATAGTTACATTAGTCCTCTTAGACAAGTAAAGAGAAGTAGCATCTTATATTTGCATGTGTTTTGTTCCCTGTCCCCTGTATACAGACACAAATAATATGGATTAAAAATATATAAAGTTAGATCTAAGTTTTTGCAGAAAAAGTGGGTCAGACATCTGAGGATTCTTACTTTAAAAACATGCAGAAATCTCAGGTAAAGAAAGTACTTAATGGCCTCCTTACCTGAACAAAACTCAGGTAAAGAGGTGACCCTTTTACTCATTTTATCTCAAATTGCTAAGTATCCTGGGAACATGAGAAAATGTGTGAGGTCTTTAAATATAGACTCCCCAGTTCTTGGAAGGAGAAGGAGCCATGGGTTGAGAAGAACTGGCCTTGTCATCTTCTAGGTTTCATATTTTCTTGGACATTTGTAGGTTGTCTTTTTTTTTTTTTTTTTCCCCCCCAAACTTTTAGTTTGGACAAGGGAATATGTTAAAAATAGCATTCTGAATTTTCTCAATCTCGGTGTGTTTACACATTGTAGATTAGATTAGGGGGATTCTAAAGGTGGGTGACCTGTAGTGCCTAAAAATTTGCTTTTTTAAAAAGGAAAATTGGAAGTACTTTTAAAATACATGTATTTATTAGATAAAAAGTGCATGTTGCTACAGTTTCTATTTTCTCTGTGCGCTGTGCTCCACTCTGTGTAATTATCTGCTAGAATGCATACTCTGCATGTGTTTTTAGTTAAAATTTCTTAAAACACGGCCTTAAAGTCTGCATATTTTCAGCCTAGTCCTTTAATAACTCACATAAAATAGCATGTGTCTGTCCTGCATGTGGAATATCTACTTGCATATTTTCAACTATTTAACTTAGAGATTTTGGTAGCATGTGTTAAGACTAATAATTCTTTTCCATTTTTGTCATTAAATATGATAGACTAACACATCAAGGAAAACGTCTAGTTTCACTTTTAAACTTTAAGAAATAAGGTCTGTGTAGTGTTTGGTAAGGGGCTATACTATGAAGTGAGGTTGCTTTTTTTCTTCTTGCTACTTTTTCCAGTGTGGAAACAAATGATGTAAGCTGAACTGGACAACACCTCTACTAGTTCTTGTAGCATCCTTTTGTTCTATATTCACATCATCATGTGTGTCACAGTATATTCTCAAGGACACCGAGTGAGATGAGGGTTACATCTCAACTTAACCTTGCACTGCCTGCATGATTCCTTCTTTTATTCACCAAGGGATTTTTCATATGGAAGCATTTGTGACCTTTTTGATCATGTTTGTTGCACGAGGGTTATCACCGCCATGATAACAGCCTGGGCTTTGTTGGGAAGTGTGATATAATAGGTATTCTTAGCAGTTTCTGTGCAAAGACCCTTTTTCCCTAGCTCCCACTGGTGCCTGTAAGCTACTTGGCAAATAATGGAGCACTTAAGTAATGTGTTCTTGTTTTATTTTGATTATTTTTATGTCTGCTAAGGACTTGTTCTTCCTGAGTTCTTCTTTGAAAGACCGAAGTTTGCTTTCATACTTTCAAGATTCCTGGCTTAGCAGTGATTGGAGTATGATATATTTACATTTTCAGTGAAACTCTTCACTGCAAGCTCCACAAAGCAGTACCTGACCTCCAAAGACCTCATCTGGTCCCACTTTTCCAGAACTGGAACAGCACTTCTGCTGGATCCCTAAGGAGAGTATAAGGACAGGGAGAAAACTGAGCCTACTACCTGTATCTGTGGAGAGATTTTGGAAAATACTTGATGGCTGGATCACTTCTCCCTTCTGCTTCCTATAAATGCTCTGTGGCTACAGCTGTGACAAAAGGGAAATTCCTATGTATCCTTGACACTGCTCCGTTCTTCTAGTAACACCAAAAAAGTTAAGCCACTGCAGGCCTTTGATCACTCCTGGGGTACAGGAGGAATGCTAGCAGCTGCTCCAGATTATTGTGCCACATCCCCAGTGGCTGTGGAAATGCGCTCGCACTGCGTCAAGGCACAGGGGCTTCCCCACAGGCCAACCTGGCAGTGGCAATCCCGGTCTGTTCTTCTTCCCATGACACCTTGGAACAGGTGCAGAGCCCCGGGCTGCAGCATCAGCTGGAATGCACACGGTGACAGCCCTGGTGCCGGGTGCTGTGGGGTGCCATGGTGGGTGGCTGTGCAAACAGCGAGACCCTGCTCAGTGCTTCAACCCCCCTCTTCTTTGGACAGTAGAATGCAGCTGAATGCATTTGTGGTGGGCGCTGGACCAGAAGCAGCAGCCACATGGGAGAGCTCCCATATCTGATGGGGAGTAGAGGAAGCAAAACTTCACAACACTAGAGTCAAAGCATCCAGGCTGTTTATATACCACCACCATATTTCCTATGGCACAGCAGTAGGGCAGCTGGCACTAGCAGTACAGCCCCTAAAATGTGCCCTTTTCCCTGTTGGGGTGCACTTCTGAGACTGGATGTGGGACTTAGTGCCATGGTCTAATAACCACGGTGGTTGTGGATCAAGGGTTGGACTTGGTGATCTCAGAGATCTTTTCCAACCCAGCTGATTCTATGATTCAGGAGCTGAGTTGCTCCATTGCCTTCCAGGGAGTGTTATTTATGTGCTGAAAAGCCCTGTGGAGGACCAGGAGCTCCTTTGGAGGATCAGCAACTGTTGGGAGAGCAAAAGAGATACTCAATTTGAAAAAGTAATCCTTTGGAAAGGTAATCCTCTGGAAAGGTAATCCTCCATTTCTTTACAGGTGTCATTTACATAGGCACTGTCTCATGAGCCTGCTGTCTTTTGGGCACTGTCCTCATGCTCCAGTTTGGTGTTAGCAGGGCTTACAACAAACCAAACCATAAGCCAGTTTATTTCCCTCCATCACTGTCTGTTTACTCATGTTATCGCTTTCTTCTAGTAATGGTATCTCAGTTTCTGCTCCAGACTGTCTTTGCTATGGCACATGCCCGACCTGGGAGCTGGTGAGCACTGCCTCTCAGATCCCGGGGCAAAGGTCAGTAGCTGCATAGTGGCCTCTGGATTCCTCAGATACCGACCCTCGTCATGTGGGGAGGCATTAACCTTTGGCCCTGAGTAAGTGTCCTCATATCTCACCTCAGTTAGTCTGTCCTGCTATTTGATCCTGTCCAATATAAAGCCCTTTCCTTTGGCATCCTGCAAATCTAAGACCCGTCTTGATGTTTCCCACTGATACTGGTGGGAAATACCCCGTGTGTTGTACCCAGGGCTGAGTAAGTAGTGGTAGAAGGGGCAGATCTCTTAGCCTGTTCCAAAAATGTGAGTTTTCCCTTGTCTCCTTTTGATGCAAAGCTTGGTCAGGGGTTCACCTCAGTACATCAGTCCTATTCCAGACAACTCCCATGTTTACCTCATGTGTAACTTCACACAGCTGCCTTGGGTCCATCTCCAGGCTGTACAGAAGTTCTTAGTTCAGCTCTGATGAATGATCATTTTACTTCCTTGCACTGGATAAACAGCTGTTTTCCATGTTACCTGCTTTAGGAGCCTCACTAGCGTGTTGTTTCTTTCCTTGCCTCCATGCAACAAGCAGACATATCTGACTAATTGCAGCAGGGTCGCACCAGCACCTTCTTCAGCTGGAGCTGCACAAAAAAC